GATGATTATTGATTACTATAATAAGTACAGCTATATTAATGATATTATATTACATTCATATATGCCTATGTACACTTGAAACATTCTCTACGATAAGTTACAGCCTTACAAAACTTGCTAAATTTACTATGTATAACATACCTACCAAGAGTTCAACTGTAATTTCAATATTTCTACTATATTATTAGGTGTATTGTTTACATTTTTAGTATAATAATACCTAATAAGTATAGAGTTACTTACTTATTAATAATAATAAATATTTTTAGAATATTACATAATCATTATTATTACAGTACACTACCAATTTTCGGCTGCATCCGAATTGGTTCCCGATATTCTAGGTAAGTGGAATACATACGAATTGGATGCTATATAGTTGAATAACTGCATGTAACATATAGGTTTATAGATATATCGTTATCGCATTACGATAAACACTTACAAAAAAGGCGAAATACGATTTAATAATATTATTACTTGATACAAATGCACCAAAAAATGATTTAGATAAGTCCCAAGTCTGTATGAAATGAGAAGAAATTGAAAATGCTTTTCTCCGGAACCAATTCGGAACAACCTGGGAACTAATTCGGAACAACCTGGGAACCAATTCGTAACAACCCGGGAACCATTTCGGATACACTGCAATTTTCTAAGACGATTTATAATAATTACCGCCCAATACCCAAGTCATCATATACATGACTTACCCATATAGCATTAAATACACATCGAACTATTAAACTAATCTCGTTAAATATTTCAATGCATCTCAATTAAAAAGCATATAATATATTAAAACTCATCKGATACTCAATTATATTTTTTAATGTTATAGTTGTTTTTAGTCATAGCATACGAGTTAATAATATTCAATTTATTTAATCAGTATTTTTTACTGACTAATAAAAGTTAATATTCTTCACGATTAGTCATTATTTATTAGCTATAATTAAATTAATTTCTATGCACATAATAATATAATATATTTTTGATTTAGCATAATATATATTTTAAGTAAATTAATATATTTATGAGATATTGCCATTCTACAATATAATGAGATAAAAATATTTGATACCTATATACAATGTTGCTACTGTATAGTTTTCAACTGCATCTCATATTGAATCGGTACTGCGTAATGGATTTTATTTCAATGATAAATCATTGTATACAAAAAACAATTCTGAGTGATAAAGAAAAAATCAACGTACATTTTTTAGAATACCGAATTAATCTTGTATACTACCTATTTATATTGTTATTAGTATTTTCTTAATCTAAATAAGTATATAGTTTGAAATATTTTTTAGCAAAAACATTTTACAGTAATACGTATAACTTATAATGGTAATTTTGTCACACCGGCAAACCGTATATATGAATAAATTCGGGGTTTGAACAACTTCTAATATGTAAAAATAATTTAGAAAATATCAATGTATAAACATTTTATACGTTATAGTGGAAAGTTTATAATTTCTACGATTATAGTATTTTTAATTTAATCATAATAACTAAAATTTATTTTAAAAAATCATTAACCATTTTCATTAATATTTAAACTTGGAATGCTTATAAAACAATTGTGACTTCGTATTTTAAATATTTTTTAATTATTGTARGATTAATAGTATTTAGATTTTCGTGTATTTTACGAATTTTATCAACATTTGAACATCAAATACTTTTTTTTTATCTAAATATATTTAATTTTTTTTACAATAAAAATAATAAGGATATATATAAACTATAAATACAGGAATAACGCTAAGAGGAGACCATTTATTAACAGAACTTAAAAAAACAATGTTTTCCCCTATTTAAGGAGATCTCTAAATCAGTTACTTTTTAATCGACAGTGAATTTGTGGAAATGTAAGAAATAATATATTTTGAATGAAGGGGCTTATGTGGTTTGTTAATTTTTAATGGAAACTTTTATAGTGGCTTTTTGCAAGCTCAACATTAAATACTCGAAGTAAAAAAAAATTATATTTTAAAAATTTAGTGAAAATCTTAAATTCGTACGGTAATTCTTTTATGAATTGCAACACAAAAATTAATTTGATTTTGTAAAAACCTTGTGTAAATAATAAATATACATTCTCGCTAGAAATTTCTACTGTTAAAATATAGGTACTTTGATTTTCATATTTTAAGAAGACGCCATGCATGATGTATGTTTGTTTTTGTGTCTGCATGTCGTTGTAATCACATTAATTTGGAGCAGACAATTTTCTTATGAAGATTTACTTGAAGGTTGCAGAGAGTAATTTGAGAAAATTGAATTTAGTTGTTCTTTGGGAGTCAAATATTTATTAAGAGACGCCACACCCGCATGTGTTGTCTTCGTCTTGCAAGTCCTTAACATAGCAAATTTTACGCAAATTTAATACATGATATTAATTCATCATATTAAGTTACTTCTGGTTTGAGAATAATTTAATAAAAACATAAACAATAATATAATTGTATTATATATTAAGGTTCTTTCCAAATCCACTTCCATTATTAATTCCCTTCAATTTTGTTTTCTCAACACCACCTTCAACAAATTTACCTTCTTATTCGGTAGACCGACATAATTATCATAATATATTAATATTTCGGTCAACATTAAAGTACACACAATTCGATTTAATATACCATGCTTACAACGTTATTTATACTGTTTATGTTTAAATAAAATATATACCACTTTGCTATATTTAAAATTGATATTTTGTAATCATTTATTAAGAACAATAATTGGATAATCAGAGTGATTATAAAAATAATAAAAACGGATAGGACACTTGTCATGATTTGCTTGATGCTGTTTACTAACGGTGTGTAGTGATATTAAAATAATATTTAAATTGGTGATCATCCACCATTATTTTCAGATTCTTATTTTTATTTGTTATTATATTTTTCTTGCAGTGTGATAAGTTTTAATGTTTTTACTAATCAAAAATTGAACTAATATTTATTTATTTTTTCTTATGATGAATGCATAATATATTTTTACTGAAATGCGGCTTTAAAATACATAATTCGTCATTATTTATCATATTTAAAAATTAATAATTACATAAAAAAACTTATATTATAATATGTTTATATGCGTACCGTGAATAATCATAATTTGAAAATAAGTAGTGTAACAAATAGCTTACAACTTGTTAATTTTAAGTTGAATATGAATAAACTATAGTGATATATTAATTATTTTCTGAAAGATATTTACATAATGTTGATTAGTTTAATATTTTAATAAGGAATTCATAAATCCATAGCGATTTATTATATTATTTCTTTGTCGTAGTAATAAATTATTATTTCTTTTGTTCATTGTAATATATACATTTGAAACCAAAACATAAAAATAAATAGACCATTTTGTATGTATTACATCTACTAAAACTAATATTGAATGAAAACAAAAGTATTGCAAAAACCTAGTGATAATTTTKTTTTATAGGATTTTTATGCTTGTCAAATTTAGCATATACCTATCGATCTATATCTATTAGTCAATTAAAATTAGAATAACTTGTAAGTTAATAATGTTATGAATATACATGTATAACACCAGTTAATCCATTTAACGTAACGATTACCGGAACTAGGGGGTTCCAAAAGGGGCTTTGGCAACCCTAAGTTCGAAGTTAGACACTCCCCCTTGATATTTTCTTCTTTTTTTCGAATCCCTCGATGCTCTATACTCTCGCTAGCTACTCAAGCGAAACGTCGGTTTTGTTACGCTTACTATAGTACTCTTAGAAATATATTTTAAACGCGTTAAATTATATTAATTAATCCGGTTTAATAAAGATTCCATATAACCGAGCCATATTCCAAATATAAATAAACAGATTATTAATAAAAATAGTATTATTTAAATGTATATTTTAGTTTTATCATTAATACGAAATGTGTTAAAATTCATATGAAAAGTTTTCAAGTGTTCATTATTGTAGATTTATAATTTGTAAGATTGTGTAATTTTAATATTCGAGGGTGTGGAGGGCAAATCCTCAACCCACGGCTATGTGAAGCTTTTAAAATTATAGCATCAGTGCATCACTGTACGTTTTTGAGGTCTAGTTGAACCTGTAAACGCGTAACATTCATTAAAAATTTAACCATAAACTTTTTTAATCTTTTTTAATTATGACGTGCATTTTTGATTTATCAATACAATAAATCCTATTTCGGATAAATATATTATAAGTTATAGTTATTTTATCACTATATATATGATATATTATATCAGTTATAAGTTGAAGGAAAGTATTTTAAGTATAAGGAATACACCTCAAAATTTGGACCCATTACGATTAACTGAACATAAAAGTATAAATACTTTTTATTTATAACTTATAAACTATACAGGGGTCTGAAATTTGATTTAAGTTATTTTTATAGATTTAAGTACTCCGAATATTATTCAGCTTTGGGATATGATACTAAAAATGTATGTTGTCATTCAAAAAAATAAAACACTTAAAAAATATTAGCCATACAAAAAATAGTAATAAATATAATTTTCCCGAAAATGTTATTTTGTAATGACTTAAAATTATGCAAAAGAAATATTTTCAAAAAAGGCAATGATATGTCAATAAAATTAATAATTGTTTTATGTTGAATAGATAATCCCGTAAAAATACAATCGCACATAATAGCACTTAATATGCCGGAAATTTCTACAAGTAATATTTTCCACGCATTAGTAGAAAGTAAACATATAATTCAAGGAAGATTAGTTACGGAATTAATGTTTTCCCTTTTATTGTACGTGCTTGAAAAATTAAAGAAGTATATTTTTCATGTATTATTTACCCATATATTATATTTTTGTCTACATATACGTAACTGTATCTATAAAAGATATAAGTCAATTCTATGGTATAAATCTAATCATATTATTTATTATGTTTTGATAATCAATAAAAAATTTGCTAAAATAAAATTTAAAAATTGCTATTAATTTGAACTTGTTTCTAGATGCAGCCATTTTTCAATGAAGATAAATCCGATAATACCTCACAATATGTATTATGACACTCCAAGTTAAAGTTCAACAACTAGAGGTAAATAATTATTAATTGTGTAATATTTATTTACATATTATATAAACAATAAAAAAAACTATTCATTAAAATTAATTCATCAACAATTGAGATAATTATTATTTACTTATAATAATAATTATCATTTCCAGCTTTAAGAATACATTGCTTGATTATATGTTTAAAATTTAGATTAAATTTATGATAAATACTATATGGTTAGTTTTAATTATTTGTTTTTGCCGATTTTATGAAACCAAAATGATATGATATACACAAATATAGTTATTAATTACGCGTCGGCTGTGGCTCAGCCRGACCGGGTTCGATCCTCGACCATCGGGCGACATTTTTCTCCGGGTAAGTCACGGTGTCCGGAAAACAAGTGCCGCCATCCCCTACTCCGGAGCATGGCAGAAACCTACGGGTGCCCCAATAAAAATTCTTCCAAAAACTCACCCACGTGGAACACACCCTACCGTTCCATAAACCTATAGTACCCACCCCCTTCCCGATAGCCTAAGTTGCCGCGGGATAATTAATAAAAAAAAAAATTTACTATTTATTATTAATGAATGATTTTTTAAAACAATTCATGTTTAATAGTTTTTAGTTTTTTTTTTTTTATTGAGCATATTTACATCTACAACAAAGGCCATTAGTTACACTTATTTATACAGTAATTATATAATATATATTGATACAAAAGAAAGTTATTAATTTGGATAAAACATTTTTTTTTTTTTTTAGTTTTTAGTTTGTATCGTATTAAAACTTAATTATATTTTACTATGTACTAAATACTTAATTTTGTTACAAGCTAATAATCTTAGTAGTTGAAGCTATACCGCATGAATAAAAAAAAAACTTAATTATGCCAATTAAACTTTCAATGATTATAATTTCTTATACATACCTATAGTTCATTCATTCAATAACAAATTGTATTTATTTAAATTTATCATTAAATTATAATTATATATTTTATATAGAATTCATTGATGTATTTACCTACAAAGTTTAATTAAACTATAAAACTAAAGTAGAAACTCTACTTTATTTTTATAACTTGACATTTTATTGTTTTTACTATAATTTATATTAATTAACCATGTATTCATAAAAAAGCGGGAAGTCGGGTTTGGGAATTTGTCTCTTTTCTTTAAATACGAAGCTTGATAACAGTTTTTTTAAGTCTCATATTTAATTTGAAATCAAAGGTTACTATCGTTGAATATTTAAAAAACGATTATAACCGGAGCTCGATTAAAATTATACTTTCTATAGTTATTTTTATTTTTTCAAAATATTTCTTCGGTTATCGATAGTTTATCCTTATTTTTAGATTAATTATCGATAAAATAGAAAAATTATTCATATAAAGTAGGTATAGAATACATAAATTCTGATTTATWAAGGTGTGAGACTTTTTAACCACTACCTATTTTTCCGAAAATGTTGCTACATATATCGTATTTTGGTGTACATACCTATACATTTAAAGACGTACTTATTAAAATATATGGTATGGAAGTTGAAATTAAAGTAATGTATAGCTCATAATCTAAAATGTATAGCTTACGTTATTTCTATTCGTATTTCGTAATATCTTATAATATAAAACAAATATTTAAGTATGCAATTCATAATAAAGAATAATGGTTAACTTTTTAACAACTTAAACATCTTTGAATATTCTCGTAACATAAATAATGAATAATTATTAATGAATTATCGTACAATATATTCTATCTAAAGGTATAAGATATTAATATATAATCTTTTTTTAAACTTATTTCATTTATTTCCGGAAACGTGAGCCAAACCAGGGTATTATCTTTAATCGCAAAACCTAACCTAGCTAATTTAAACTTTATGAAGTTCTTTTAAACTTTATAAAGTAATTTAAATCTACGTAAGAAGTATTCTTGTTACCTACCTATATGGCTGTATATAAATAAATATTAATGTATTTTTTTTTTCCTGTACTGAACATTAAAACATTCGATATAATATATTATTATATTATATTAACTTCTAACTAATTATATACATTACTAAAACAAACAAAATTAAAACCATTAAAATATAAAGATTACAGGCGTGCCATTTTTTTGTCTTATTTATGAGTAACGCATTTTTTTCTCCCATATGAGTAATCTCGTACATATTTGAATATGTAAATTTAAGGATGCTACTGTTTATGCTGTCTATATTTAAAAATTGTTATCTCAGTTTTTCCGACGTGCTTTTATACCAATTACTTACATTTTTCTAATCATATTGTGATTGTAAAAATCAATAAAATTAACTACTTTGAAATTCTAAATAGTTAACCGTATAAGAAAACTAAAATAACTATAGGTACCAAAATTCAGGCTATAAAGCGATTTTTGCCTGCAGTTAATCATATGTATATAATAGAGACAGAACCGATAAATGGGGGGTATGCTATTGAAGTTTTCAAGGAATCTTGAGACATGTATACCCGCAGGCTACAATTACGTACCTACCTATTTTGGTTTACTTATTGGTATACTAACCTGAATTGTGTACTTAGTATCCAAAAGTTGTAACAGAATAAAAATGATGATAATAATCATTTTTTTCAGGGCGTCGAGCAACCACGATGCCGTCTATGCAAATGTTTGGACGTAGATGGCTTGCCGGTACAGACGACTTGGTGTTCCCAGGATTATTAGAACTTTTGATGCGGGGAATATGGTGAGTTATTATATCTGTTTTCAACTGATTGGAAAATAACAGTTTATTATAAATACCAAACATTATAGTATTATTAATCGATAAAAAACTTTTACCTTTCGTATCAATATATAACGTAGCATTTATTTGTAACATAATTGAAATATTTAACTAAAAAAAGGTTGGTTTTTGAAATAATTGATACTTAATTTTTTTTTATTATTATGATTTTATTCATGGTTAAGCGTCAACAACTAAGGCTATTAGCTTACTTAATTCTATCATACTTAATATGTGAAATTTAAAAATGAATATCGATCTGGTAAAAAAATGCTAATTAAAAATGGAATGATTGATTAAACGATTATCACTCACCCAATTATTAGTGACGTCACTTCGTTTCGACAATTATTGTCGGTATCAGTACCTAGTCGAATGACTATATTGTATACAATTTGACAGATTCTATACATTCATTTTTTCATATAAAATAAATACGAAATATATGATACACACTGCAGTTTAAACAATCATTTCATTTTTAATTAAACACATTTTTAATGTAACACACGAGCTATTATAAAATATTTAAGTTGTAACCATTATTGTAGTACCTCCGATGGAAGGCATCTACGCTCTGTTATCTTTATCTATTAAAAAAAAATTTTTTTTTACTATCTAYTACTTCCTCGGTTGTTCTTATTGTTCTTTTTTGCAACAGATTGAATAAAACATTGTAAAAAAAAAAGTTGTAACCTAAATGGCGCCGAAGTCATTAAAAACTACCACAGGTAATATTTTATATGACAAGTTAAATAAATAAATACATACGAACATAATTCGTAAATATATACGAATTTACGAACCCGCGTATTATGATATTAATATATTATGAATTATGATGCATAAAAAAAAAAAAATAACATTAATCATCATTAAATCGAATAAGCCCATATCCGCTTAAAGTCCGTTAGGTGTATTAACATTGAAATTAAGTTCGGTGAAAACTAATAATCGGCAGTATGAATTTGGAATGTTATAGTAGGTATAAATGTATAATAGGCATAATCTTTTATAATTAAACAACGATGATATGAAAACCAAAGTTATTGACATAGGTGAGAATTTAAACGTTATAATTTTTAATTGTTAAGTAATAATAATAAGTACTTTAAAACAATTATCTACTCACATAATCGGATAAAAAATTGGTCAAAGGTGTTTTTCATTTAACGAATCAGAACCAGAAAAAAATCTTCTGATCCCAATGATTAATACTTTCTACGCGACTGACTGTACATATGTTATAGGTATTACCATTATTATTATATAACAGTATGTGTCTAATGTATCCAAGAAAATACATAAATAAATTAAACTATTTAAATATTATTTCCTCAACTCAAGTCAATAAGTTTTATGCGCTTGTCATCTAATGAAATTAATTATTTATAAATTAATTTCGTAATAAGCACATAAAACCTAGATTGACTTAGAAAAATATTTAAAATAATTATCCATTTGTGTATTTTCATGAATATACGTAACGACATTTTATTATGTTAGATATTTACGGAATGCTATACAATACATGCGTGAATACGTGATTGTTTAAGATACAATTTGTTCTACAAATTAATTAGAACATGTGATTTTTATTGTACCTATTGTGAAAATTAATTTTAAAATTTTACCTTTACAACAATCGCGTGTTTATGACATTTCAAATAATACCTATGTTTAACATCATTACTATTCGCCGGAAACTATACCTACAAATATTTCAAGGTGGCCGTCTAATTTGTTCGTTTGATAACACGCCTCTAGGCTTACATGTATTGTATATACATAATATAACAAATGGTAGTACGTTACCAACGTAATTGCATCTAATTTTGATGCCAAACGTATATACTTATATGACATATATGTAATATGTACCTATTATATATAGGTATCCATAATGTTCATAATAACAAACTGTATAATGTCCACGATAATGTTTTTTTTTTTTTTTACCGACATCGCGCATGTAATGGCATAACATGTACTATCCTTGTTCATACGTATGATGTCTCATCACTATTACGAGGTATGTTAATAACAACAAAGATAACTGTTGTGTAGAATTAAAAAAAAAAAAAATGAAAATACTGCATCTAGATAAATTAATTAATCTTTCTTGTATCATTATATATTTATTTATCGATGATGTAAATTAGTAAAATGTGTTGTAAATATTGTAATTAATTACACTTACCAATTCTAAATGATAAATTTTCTATTACCTATATTATCAATAAGTTTGATTATACCTTGTATTATGTCAGGAATACTTAATAATAAAAAAAAGTGTAGAATTTTGATATTAACTTCAAAGAAACTTATATATATATTTACGTTTTAGTACATAGTTTCTCATGTACTTTCATACTGAACATTAGAACCTCATAACTGAAAGTTGAGATTTCCTACATCCTGTCTGAATCCGTCAAACAGTGAAATGCCATGTTATACAAACTCAATTTATCAATATATCGAACCTATTCAAAATTCGCTGATTGGTACATGCTGTAAATTAAAACCCATTAGTCACAAATGCTGCGAGGATTATCGAAGTGCTATAATATATAAAAAAAAAGAAGAAAAATGTGTAACAGGAAAACAAAATCTTGTATTGTTATTTTCATGAAATAATTTTTCAAGAAAATTATATATTATAGAAATAGTATTTTTAAGGAATAATATATTCTTTGAATGATATTTTTGGTAGCAGTATTAATTAAAGAAAATTAAAATTAACAGTAAAATAATAACACAGGACAGTATTTGTCAGGAATAGTACAAATTGGGGAAATATTGCCTAGGACCGTAATAATCAAAACAATATTTTCAAGTAAATTATGCACAGAGATCTGCATTGGTCTGAGATCGTATTATTTCTGATAATACTTAAAGCATAGAGAGGACTAAATGGGACAGGATGGTTGTTTGTTAAAGATAGAATTAAAAAGAAATGTTGTTTTACTGAAAAATACAAAACAAGAACTGTATTATGTTGAAATAATAAGTGGTAGGTAATTAAAAAACAGTACCATATAAGTCGGGGTGGTGTTTATTGTTGTACCTGTTTAACAAGTACGTAAGATGACAAATTTTAAACATATTTATGGTTTCGTAGTAACGCAATAACCATATCCATAGACACGGTCACGTTTGGAGAGTTAAGGGGATCAACCCCCTTACAATATGGAATGTACACAAATATATTTACAAACATTTTTTTTCTATTGGGGAGATGAGGCTTCGACAATAAGGGCCATTAGCCTGTGGAACTGTGGAGAAAAACTGTTGGCTTGGAACTCGTGGATGGACAAACATTTAAAACTATTAACATATTTAAAGGTGTAATAGTACTTTAATTCTAAAATACTTAACAATACAAGTAAAATCTTAATAAAAATTTAAATGTATAATTGTAAATTTCAATAAAAGTAGGCCGAGATATTAGATTTTAAAATGTTTACGTTTAATTAACCGCCATGGTATATCTTAAATAGAAAAAAAATTATTTGACTAATATTGAGTCTATATATTAAAAACAACTTAAGTTTAAAATCTACCAATTAAAATAATAGGTAACAGATAAATACTATACATATAATATTACCATAGTGGCATAGTCTCAATTAAATTAACTAAATACTAGTTGAATTAATAACAATTAACAATCATATCTAACAATGATGTAAAAACCAGTTGACAGTTTGCTCTTAAAAAATTTAACTAGTTTTTTTTTCCATTATTTTATGACTCATCTATATGTTTATGATTTTTTTTTTTGTGATAATGCTAATATACCATTATCATTTATGAGAAAATATCACAGTATTGGGAATCAGCATTATTATCTGCGACAAGTGCATTGGATATCTATTATTATTCGGTACCTTATTATAATGAAAATAACCATATACGCTTTTCGCTTTTCCCTAATAATATCTGAACATTTTAATTCAATTTCAAAATCGTTATTTTTCAATACTAAGCGTTACCAAACCGTTGTTATTATTTTTATCAGTGGTCACTGAAAAATKTATTTCTTACTGTATGCAAATTCGCTATAAATGGTTCAGGAACCTATGTTTTTAGATATGTTTTTATACTTTATATTAATGAATTATACACTTCCATGATATTACTATATTTTTTAGT